GCTTGACCTACCATGACAAATATAAAACATTAAAAAATGGTTTCCACAGTTCCACAGACCTGTCATTAGCTTAAAATCTAAAAAGTAGGAAATTTCCTATACACTGCCTTTTGCCAACTGATATGTAAAACGAAATACTTTAAAAAAGAATCTCACTGTTACAGTTGCTAAAACGTAGACATCTGCCATGTTTTTGTTTATAAAGTACTCTCCCAGGTCCTCTACTTAAAACTATCAGTAAATTTGTTGTGAAATTTCTAAATGTGAGGGAAATACAAAGTGTCACAATGTCTGCAACACTTTTTAACCCAATAATCTTAATTTTCTCAACCTTTTAATACATAATAATTTAAACAATTGTTAAAGATGGCAACATCAGTTTAGAGGGACTGTTGTCTTCATTTAGTAATAAAATATATTACATACAGACCAAATCTTTCATCATAGTTGCCAAAATGGGAAAGAAAAAAAACAAAAACGACCATTTATTTTTTTTTTATGGAAGTTATTCTAAAATACAAATACATACTTTGTCTCTTTCGATTGCTTCCAAAAGCACCTTTCTTGATTTTGGAAGGTTTTTTTGTATTTTGAAAAGATGTCGGGCTAGTTTGATAGCATAAAACGATGATTCATTATTTGATTTAGCATTCTTAATGGCATCCTGAAGCAAATGTTCAGCTTCTTCCATATTTCCATGCCGTCGTTCTAAACTTACTCTTCTCAATCGAACCATTGCCAATCCTAGAACACATTCTTCAAATGTTCTCAAGATATTCCTGGCTTCATTAATATTACCTAGAAATGTTAATTAAATGTTTATGCTTTGATTTAAACTTCTGAAATATCCTTTATGCCAGGTATTGGCAAATAACAGTCCATAGGCTAAATCTAGCCCTCTGCCTGGTTGTTTTTTTTAATTGAAAATAACCGTGCTCATTTGTTTATCTATGGTCTACAGATGCTTTTGGGTGGGCTACAATGGCAGGGTTGTCAGGAAAGAGACCATATGGCCTTCAAAGCCTAAAATATTCACTTTCTGGCCTTTAATAGAAAAAAAGTTTACCCCCTGAAGGAAGAAAAGCAAAAACAAAAAACAAGACTGACCTCTGCTCTATACCATCCCTCAAGACTCAATTCCTAGAACTTTATCTTGAAGTTAACTTAAAATCCCAAAAATATCAACTGAATTTCCTCATTCTTACCCTGCTGTTCCTCAAAAGCTGCCCAAAGCATATGCACCATGGGTTTCTTTGGGAGATGAATAGTGCAAGCTCTGCTGAAGACATGCCTCACTCCTTCAATGCTATGGTTTTCCATGTACTTGGCATACTACATACAGAAACAGAGGAAATACTGAATAATTTACAGTTGAACAAGCCATTAAATATGTGACAGAACGATAAAATTCTATTTTTAAACCCATTCAGCACCTTTATTGAACCACTAGACTAGTTTCTGTAAGGAAGGACGAAGAGAGGCAACGAGGTTGGCATATGCAGCAGTCAAATCTGGTTGCAAGCAGACCATCTCCTAATGCAACAGATATAGTTATATGAACAACATTCAACAGAAGTACAAAAAAGGTTAGTCACTAGATCAATGTTTATAATATGTTCAAGTTTCAGAGCATATAATTTTCTTACCTTAATCCAAAACTCCTCATAGAGGGCACATGATATGACACATCTTTCAAAGAGAACCACAACTCGTTCATGAGTCCCATTTTCTATTTCAAATTCTAAGTATTCTTTCCAGTTTTTTAGTTGTGCCTTCTCCAATGGTTTCACATGAAAATAAGGTCTTTTAATCTGTAACAAAAGTATAACAGGAAAAAAAAGTAGGACATTGCAACGAAAGTAAACCAATACCAACACCAGAAAACACTAGACTATAGGAACAATACAAACTATCTAAACTATGTACATAATTAATGATGGTGAACCAAGAAAATTTTCATCACCATATTTCATGATAAAAAAATACAACTAAAACCCCTTAAATTTCTTAGGCTTTAAAAATTGAAGAAACAGAATGTATTCTCTATTTAGTCATTTTAATGGCACTACATAATTTTTTTTATTTTCAGCAAATTTATTTCTTTATTGAATAATTTAAAATTGAACAATTATGCTACATAACAGAAAGCAGATCAGTAGGTAACTGGGGCTAGGAGTGGGATACAGGTTACTGAATGAAATGGGGCAAGGGAACTTTCTGGGATGACAGACTAGTTCTATGTCTTAATTGCTGTAGTGTGCCATACTATAATGTACATATACATGCCAAAACTGAATTTACTAGCCAGTCACAAAAAACCAAATACTGTATGATTCCACTCTCATATGAAAGGCCAGAATAGGGAAATCTATAGAAACATCGAGGAGATTAGTGGTACCTTAGGGCTAGAGCAGGCAGGTGAGGTAGTAGAGGGGTGAGAGCTAAAAAGCAAGGTTTGTTTTGTTTTTTTAATGTGCATGTGCACACGAGCAGGAGAGGGGCAGAGAGAGGAAGAGAGAATCCCAAGCAGACTCCACGCTGTTAGCACAGAGCCCGATGTGATGCTCTCTCTCACAAACCAGGGGATCATGACCTGAGCCAAAATCAAGAGTTGGATGCTGGGGCACCTGGATGGCTCAGTTGGTTGAGCGACCAACTTCGGCTCAGGTCATGATCTCGCAGTTTGTGAGTTCGAGCCCCGCGTCGGGCTCTATGCTGACAGCTCAGAGCCTGGAGCCTGCTTCGGATTCTGTCTTCCCCTCTCTCTGCCCTCCCCTGCTCAAGCTCTGTGTGTGTCTCTGTCTCCCTCAATAATAAATAAACGTCTTAAAAAAAAAAAAAAAAAAGTCGGATGCTTAAGCAACTCAGTGACCCAGGCGCCCCAAGGGTAAGGAATTTGTGAGGTGATGAAAATGTTCCAAAATGCACTATGGTGATTGCTGCATGTATCTGTGAATACACTAAGAACTACTGAATTATACACTTTAAATGGGTAAACTATATGGTAAGTGAATTATATCTCGATAAAGCTATTTCAAAAACAAAAATAATTAGAATCTGTGGGGGGAAAACCTTCATTTTACTACACATCTAAAATGGGTGTATTTTGTAATACGTAAAGTATGAACTCAAACTTGATTCTAAAAACAGAACTATAATAAAATGGTTCAGAGTAAACATATCTTGCAAATCAAATAAATCTAAATTCATTCTATAAGATTCTAAAATTAATAACAGAAAACTGATAATGGTAGAGATAAGTGGGACAAATGTCTTATTACTTAAATAAACAAAATAGTAAAGACATTAATCAAAACGGAAAAATACATTATTCCTATTTTTATATTTTGAAGCCTATTACAAAACAAAAACACTTACACCTTCTTCAAATGTCCACCTTTTACTAACTTCATGCTCATTATAATTAAACATTTCTTGATGAATTTCAATGATTCTATGTCTCATGTTTTCTATTTCTGTAATTAGCTTGGGAAGAAAAAGAAAAAATTTAAATCACACAAGTTAGATAATGAAATTTTTTAATATTACTGCTTACATTTAAGTATTATTCACACCTACTTTAATCTTATAATTGTGATAAGTTTTAAGCTGTTATCAATTATGTGTAAAGTACAATTAACAATACTAAAAGTTAGTTAAAAATCTCCTTAAAAAAAACCCACTTTCTCATGTGTATGTATTTAAAAGAGGCTAGTAGATCACAACACAGGCAAAATGCCCCTTCTAAGCTATTTCCAGGTGTCTCATAGTAAAATAGATTCTCTACGTTAAATCTGTATTTAAACTACACCACAGCTAAAGAATTCCCACTTGCCTCAATCAGAAATTAATTTTATATGAGCTACAAGTGACACAACACATGAAGTAAAGGGATATAAAGTCTAGTTTCTCATGCATTAAAGGATTTTTTCCCTAAGTTTAGTTACCTTTGCTGGATCTGTTATGTCTTCAATTCCCGATGGTAGATCATCACCAGGAGGACCATCATCACCACTGTGTCCATTTACAGAAGCTAATTCCCTTCGCAGCTGAATAAACTGTTCACCAGTTAACAGATCTCTAGGCAAGTTATTCTGTACATGTTCTTTAAATCTAAAAGAAGCCAATGAAAATAAATGCTCTATATACGAAGCGTAATTTTAGATCCCATTTTCAATTACTACTACACATTACTCTTCCAAAAAAATTGATTTAAAACCAAGCCCTTTCCTTGTCTATAGTGAAAGCTACCACTTGATTAAATGGTCTACAGACAACTTAATTTTCTTCATGCCTTGGCAATGGAATGGACAAAGCATGGAGAGGCATAAATCCAAATCCTAGTTCTGTCCATTATTAGTTATTTGACTTATGGGAAGTTTTCCCTTCTTTATGTCTTGGCTTTCTCATCTGTAAAATGGCACAATGCTATTTTGCAAAGTTTTCTTTCTTTCTTTCTGCAAAATTACTTTAAAATAATAGTAATCCCTATTTAAATTATAAATGATCATTTATAAATGATCAACAAACATTTGTAGCTCCTTCCCACTTCTCAATTACTCCTGAATCTGTGTCTGTGCCAAAAACTTCAATGAAATTGCCCTAATTAAAGCCACCAAGTGCCTTTTACATGCAAAATTAAATGGACACTTGTTTCACAGTACAGCCTCTATCCTAAACGTTATCACTATCACTTAAGTCTTCACTACTTAAGCCCTTTAACCACACTTTCCTTTTAGAACCTTCTTTGCCCTTGGCTCAGAGTTACTGCGTTCTTGGTTTTCTTCCAAGTCTCTGACTGATCCTTGATCTCCTCTGAGGGTTGCCCCTTCCTATCAGTCCCTAAATGTTAGGATTGCCAAGGACTCCATCTGACATTTTGTTCTCATCTATTTTCATTTAATTCATGCCCAATCTTATTAATAACAGAAATAATAAGCATCCTATGGTGACTCTAAAACCTATAACTCAAGCCCATACTTTTCTATCCAATTGCCAAAACTCTGCACAAAGAAATAGGTTAATTTTAAGCAAAAAGTGTTTTGGAAAAAAAGTCATTTCATTTTATCCATGCACACTAGTTTATATATATGCAAATTTTAATAAAAAAACACCAAGCTAAAGACCTAAAATAGCTACACTATCTAAATTTGGAAATTTTACGCAACATCTTAAACTAATTGTGTCATTTCATCCACAATCAACACCCTCAGCATTTCTAATTTTGATTAATGGTACTGCCAACCACTCAGTTTCTACATCTCTTCTATTTTGCTTTTATCATTTACATTCCACTGGGTACCAGGTCCTATTGATTTCACCTTCTAAATATAAACTGCTCTTCCAGCCTCTAGTCTCACTATTCCCATCTCAACCCCAATATTGCTATAAAAATATTAAAAAGTAAACATGAAAAACAAAATAGTAAACATGATCATATCCTCCCCGCCCCCCAGCCCATGTCAAAATAACTTCAGTACATTTACCCTGCATTCAGGCTAAAATCCAATCTCCTTAGATAAAGTCTTTATGCTGATCCAAACCAACCTCTCCAATCAAATTATTACACATAGTTGTATATTTATCTTATGTTCCAATCTTATGGATATTTTCCCAAGTTTCTTAAAACTGATTTAGGCTACTGACACCTGAATTTTTATGGATTTTAAGGCTGTCACTCATGTATGTAAATAACATTGGAAACTAATCTAAATTTTGCATAGTCAATGGATACAGAGGCTTAACTTGGATCCGTTTCACCACTGGGAGACAAAAAATACAGACTTCCTTCTTAAAAAAAATTTTTTAATGAAGAACTCAAAAGTATAGTAAGAAAATGAACAGATTTAATATTCATATAAATACTAAAATTGTTAGGATACAAATAAAAAACTTTTAACTACTTACAGAGCACAAACTTAAAATAACTGCTATGTTATATAGGAAATTCTTTCAAATGGTGAAAAAATAGAAATACTAAGCAGTAATTTTTCATCAGCCTTTTTTCTACTGAAAACTAATTTATTCAATAAAGAATGGCTGAGTATCTAATATACTGAGCCCTATTCCTAGGTATTAAGGATAAAAAGTATTAGTAAGTCTCAGAAACTGACCAATGTGCAAGAACTATATACAAGAGACATAAATTTAAAGTGGTGTTATTAGCGTTAAGACAAATGTAAATAAATAGGCAGAGTGCTGGCACAAATGACAGAAATACTTTCTATTTTGCTAAACTAGAGAAAGTTTCATATAGAAAACATTAAGCTATCTGGTTTTGAGTAATATGAGCAACCAGACAAATGGGGAAGCAAAAAAGGTATCACAGCCATAGAAGTAAAAAATACTGCCCTTTGGGAAATTATCAGTATTTAGATATTATTTCTGGAGCTTAGGAACTACGAGGGCATGGGTCTGAGAAGTTAGATCACATCAACAAAGTCCACATGCTAACAATATTTTAAATTAGATACTTTTCTTAGAGATGTCATCAGTGTATATCCAGTATACAAACCTACACAACAGAAAAACTATTACAGCACTTAGAACACTTTTTAAAAAAAATATGCGCATCCTCTTCTACATTTTCAACAAGCTTGACGGCCAACACCATTCACACATAACTTGTTTGAGCCTTTATTTCTACAACTTAAATGGTATATAATCTTTTACATAGCTAGTGCTAAATAAACAACTAAGTAGGAGGAGTGTATTAGGCAAAAGAAAACATTCCCCTAGTTCACAAAGCAGTTAGTCATGTCATAAGATTTACTTACACAAACACTACTTGTGAGTTTGCTATATACACTGATAAGGAAAATGTCAAAATATTAAAAGAACAAGAGCAGATTAAAGAGCAATATTTGGAATGCAATCTACTAATGTCTATTATAAACATCTATACATTTTTAAAAATCTAGTGGGATATTCATTTAATAACAAAAAAAAAAAGATGTGGAGGAAACTATACCAAGAACTTTGGAGCCACACTGTCTGGGTTCCAAACAGCTTCCAACTAACTAACTCTGTGACATCATGCAAGTATTTTAATCTTTCTGTGCCTCTACTTCCATAAAATGGGGATAATAATAGTACCTATACCTCACTGGCTTCATGTGAGGATTAAATTAACTATATGGGATTCAGAACAGCATCTCGTACATGGCAAATGGTATATAACAAGTGTTTCCTAATTTATCTTTCTTACCAACAATAAAGTTCTTATTGTCACAGACTTTGTATCTATACTATAGATCCTAGAAAAATTGGCATGTGAAAAGGCACCCTCTTGTTCTCATAAGGATTTTTAAAAACTTTGTGTTCACTCATTCTTTCAAACATTCACCAAGCATTTGCATATGGGAAGTCTTGTGTTAATAATGTCTTTTAGCAAGTTTCTGCCTAGAAACCTGTGCATCTCCTATACTCCATAAAAAAACAAAGACAGTATATTCAGATCTACATCATTCCTATTCTTAAACTGGATCAGCATAACTTCTGTCTTTAGCAAACTGATCCATGGTACTTTTCAGATGCTTAAGTATTCTACTTTTTCAGTAAAGAAAAATTTAGAAAATCCTTCAAAAAGTGCCTAAATTACAGGCTTTAACACAATACTACTTATAAAAATTGTAACAAACTATAGAAAATATGGTAGCTAAAAAAGCAAGTATTTATCAACATAGTAAATACTTACAACACATACTTTCTTGTTCAGAAAGACTTTGAGTCCATATCAGTGGGACACTTTGAGTACATCAGAAAACAGAATGTGGAAATCGTATCACACAGAATTAGTTGTTTTAACAGTACTCATAAAAATGAAATGATACCAGTCAGGACAAATTCATAGTGGAAAATTTAAACGAAATTATTTTTTATTTTGATTTTGATTTTTGATTTTGATTTTGATATAAACAGATCTAGATTTACTACATAAATAATAGATCTTTCACAGTTTTGAACATAAGGTATCTTTCACAGTTTTGAACATAAGGTATTATATGAATCACAAAAATGTACCTTTAGTACATCATTGTTTTTTTTTAACTTTTTTTTTTCTTAAGTAATCTCTACACCCAAAGTGGGGCTCAAACTTAAAACCCTGAGATCGAGTCATAAGCTCCACTGACTAAGCCAACCAAGGCATCCTAAGTAAATCATTAAGTTCTAAATGAGCATCTTTATGTGCCATGTACACTGTTAATTTAGTACCACAAAAAATAATTAAAATTTGATTCTATTTTCTCATTCTTCACCACTCTGAAATATCTTAGGAGTCCCATTATTCTTCATCTATAAAAGGGGTATAGAGAAACTTCTGTTTAAAAATGGTTAAAATTCCTGGGGCGCCTGGGTGGCGCAGTCGGTTGAGCATCCGACTTCAGCCAGGTCACGATCTCGCGGTCCGTGAGTTCGAGCCCCGCGTCAGGCTCTGGGCTGATGGCTCAGAGCCTGGAGCCTGTTTCCGATTCTGTGTCTCCCTCTCTCTCTGCCCCTCCCCCGTTCATGCTCTGTCTCTCTCTGTCCCAAAAATAAATAAACATTGAAAAAAAAATTAAAATAAAAATGGTTAAAATTCCTAAACATTTCATAAGGTATGTGGAAAAATATCAAAATTCAAAAGTGTGTAAATTGTGATTATCAAGCAAGAAACTTTATTCCTTTTGTATCTAAAAGAATCTTACATGACATTTCAAGAGAATTACAATCCTCAATATTAAGAATTATCTGATTAATCATAATATATCTTAATGATCGGACTTTTCCACCCACCTCTGAAAATGATGACTGTACAGCTGTGTTGGAATACCAAGAATGCGATCATATATAGCTGTAACTTCTCTCAGGTTTCCCTGTTCATTTTCCCAGTTTATATACATTTCCCATAGTCTGTCAGATCGGAAATCTGTTCCTGCAGCTAAAACAGCATGCTCGAAAGTTCTGAAAAATTAAATTACTTCTAAGTTATCTTTCCAAGATAAAATCACTTTTAAAATATTATTTCTACACCCTGCAATATATACAGATATCAAATCCTTAAGTTGTACGCCTAAAACTATTATGTCAATTATACCTCAATTTCAAAAAATTTTTAAAAATTAAAACATTATTTCTAAATTTCAGAAGATTATGCTAAATTCAAAATTATATTCAACTGCTTCTCATATAAGCAGGGAGCAAAAAGCAGAAGGAATAACGCAAGTATACAATAACTAATTATTAAAAAAGAGTAAGGAAACAAAAAGGGAATATATATATGTTTATAGAATTTTATCTTATACAGAATTATAATGCAAACATACACACTGCAAACATATAGAGTGTCAATGCAGACACTTAAATATTTGTTAAACTTGAAATGTTGAATAGATACATTCTGCAGAAGACAGAAACTAATTGTATCTCAATTTAAGGAATAATTTTCTGGAAAAATAACTCCAAGAAGGGACCCAGCTGCCTTCTAACGGAATGAGAAGTAGACATATATTTTAAAACTTTCAAAAGTCTCTCCTGCTACGTCTCCAGCTAACTAAAAAATAACTAAAAAACAAACAAACAAAAAAAAACACACGTATTTTTAAACTACCTAACTCATTTCAAAGAGATTTTTGTAAGCAATTTTAATCACTGGATTTGACATCCCGATGGGAT